TGTGTGTGTGTGTGTCTGTGTATACTCTTGTAGCAACAAGAACTGCCATTAGTCTTCATATTTTGCTCGGAACTCTATATTAACGTCTTTTCACATCTTTACCTCCAGCTCTCTAGGCCTCAACTCGGTTCGGCTCAGTCGGCTGGATGGGCTCTCCGCGCTGCGAGGCAGGGACAGATTCGCTGCGGCCCAAGGTTAGACCTCCAGCGGCGGATTTTCATAACTGTGTCTACATCCGTGCGCGCGCGTGTGTGTGTGTGGGGGTGTGTTTGTGTCTGTGTTTGTGTGTGTTTTGTTGGTGTGTGTCTGTAAAAGTGAGTGAATGTGCGGGCCTAATGTGTGTGTGTGTGTGTGTCTGTGCCTATCTATCTCTCGCTCTTTGTCTCTTTTCTTTCATTCGGCGTAGGGGACGGGTAAAGTCCCCTGGCCTTGTGGCCCCCCATGTGTTATGGGGCTTTGGGGGCAAGTTCGGTATCTTTGTCTCTCTCTCTCTCTCTGTCTCTCCGTCTGTCTGTCTCTGCTCCCTCTCCCTGGCAGTGTTTTTTGACACTCGCGCTCGGACAAAGTCGGGCAAGGTCTGCGGACAATCATTCACGCAACAAGATATGAGCTGAGCGCCCGTTAGCCCTCCAGCAACACCGTCACGAGTGAGGCCAAACAGCAACTCACGAACCTAAATTGTAATCAACTTATTAACCCCTTCCGCGCCAGTGTTGAGTTCAGAGTTGCGGGTTTGGGTTGGAAGCAAAGGGCTCGGGGTCGCATCGAAGAGCTTCCGGTCTGTCTGGCTCAGAAAGTCACGCAAGCAGACTGTGAACACCCGGACACCCGCTGCGATGATGCGGTCGCGGACAGATGCTTCGCAACGGAACAGATTTCGACATCAGAGCCATAATGCGGTCTCCTGATTACTAACCCCCCCCCCCCGCAAATCCTAAGTTGTTTGGGGGAGCCGGGGTCTAAGTTGTTGGCAGGTCAAAAGTACAGTAATAGGATGGTAATACAGTAGCAGTGCAGAGTAGCACAGTAGCAGTACAGTAGTACAATATAGTACAATAGTAGCACAGCAGTAGTCCTAAAACCCTAAACCCTAAGCTTTAATCTGGCTGGCTATCTGTCTTCTCTCTGTGTCTCCTCTATCTTGCCTGTCCATGTCTCTCCCCTTCCTGGGCGTAAGTTTGTAGTAGCAGTGTCTGTTTCCCAAAAGCTTAAAAGTAAAAGCGAGAGACGGGCATTTAGGACTATTGAGGGGCAGTTTATTATTGTGTGCAAGCCGCGTTTAGCTCAATTGAAGGGACCGTTACTAATCACGAGCTCACATTAATAGGGCGTTTCCGACCACAAGGGACCCTAGCAACCCAAGTACAAACAAAAATGACAGGATCCTTTTCAAAAGCACCCCAAAACCAAGGACCCCGAATGTTAAGACCTTTCCTTCCCTTTGACCATAAGATTTCACATTTCCAAATACCGGGCCAGGTCGCTCCGCTTGGATTCTGCGATGCTTGCCTCGCTTTTCTTCGAGTCCGACCTGCTTCCCTCATGGCTCCTGAGCTTCCCAGTTTAGGGCTTTAGCAACTTTCGCGCTTTAGGGGTTTAGGAGTTTAGAGCTTCAGGGCTTCAGGGCTTTCAGCACTCACAATTGTGACCAGCCCGGCGGGGTTACTTGTACGACGAAGCATGTTGGCTAAGGCACTTTGGCCCTGCAGCAAGCGGGATTCACCGATTCACCGTGCGAAAGACTTCGGCTAACCTACCTGTCTTTCGGCACTCACACTCTGACAAGCCTTGCCGACTGTAGGTTTTTAGGGTTTATAAGGGACAAGCACGTGGAGGGCTTTGGCTTTGTGGTCTCCCACTTGAAGAGGTTTCGGAAAGCTTGCTCTTGCTTGTCTCTTGGAGCCCCCATCGGGCGCGACAGATTTTGGGCTTTCGCGCCTGCCATGCAGCCCACAACATGCAAACACTTAG